GAAGTGCCTTTAATTAGAAACTTGTCATTATTCTCTCATTCTGGATGACCCGTACGAAAAAATATTGTGAGAAGATATTTGACAGAAATAGAATTTAGACAAACACATATTGAGGCCTTTTATTCAGTAAGTATAATACTCCACATGTTGTTACTTTCAAATAATTTATCTGTTATACTATCATAAATTGATAAATTGTTAAATTCCTTGTAGGAAACATCGTGAATTTTTACTATCCAAAAACTTACAACTAACTAAATCCTAAATTTTTTTATTACAAAATAAACAATTTCTCATGTGGTTCAGAATACATGTAAGGACTGTCTAATTATTCTTATCTCTAGAGATAGGTAATTTAATTATGCATTACTTATTAACTATGATGGAGATGTAATTCATATATCAGGTTTATCAATTGAACGGGAATGTTAGTTTACTTTGAATTTACTAAATCTAGGTCCTGAAGAAAATGTGAGGTGTCATAACATATATTTTATCAATGAACATGTGTTTCATACTAAAGCATATGGTCAGGGTAAATAGATATATAACAATGTGGTTTATTTTAAAGGATCGACTTTTAATAAGTTTGAAACTGAGTATTATGAGAAGTTAGAAGAGATCTTTGAATTGCAATATTAGAACAAGCATAATAGAGTTTTTTACTCAAACATTACTGATATGAAACCACTAACAGAGAAATTAGAGTAGATTTCCATTATGGTTTGTTCGATATCAATACAAAGGTTAGACTTAGCAATGTCGATGATGTTTTTGTTTTCGCCAAGCAATGTCAGCAAATTTATTACACATACCTTAGAAATAATCATTCAAGAGTTAATTGGTTCTCCATAGTGAAAACCAAACTCAAAAGTCGTCGTGTCCAAGTTGTTCTTGATGGCAACAATGAATTAGTTGTAAGAGATGATGTCTTTCAACTTGATTAGTTAGTTGACCCATATCGAGTTGTTCTATCTATTGACTTAAAAGAAAATTTAAATTTTCAAATTGCCATGAATACTTTTATTAATATTGATGTTGAAAAATTAAATGATGTTGTAAAAACCAGCAAACATACACATGTCAGTGAAGATGATGACAACAATGAAATCAATATAGAAGATTGTGATGGATATGACGATGATAAAATTAAGAAAAAAAAATACTATTCTCATTAATTTGCACAAAACAATTGTGTAATTCTATAAACTATGATGTAATATTTCTGGATGAAATTAAATTAAATGTAATGACAATGATGTTTGTTTATTATTAAATCACTTTGAAATATTTATTTTATGTGATTTTATTATTATACACAAAACTTGTGTTATTGTGTTGTGTGTGTTGCTGTGTTTTCAAGTATTTGCAAGATAGTTACATAAAATCAAACAAATATACAAGGTTATCGAAGAAAAATATCTAGAATATAGATACAATCTGATAATATAAACTATTTTTTGTTGATGAAAATAATGACTACTTTGAAAAATACAAACAAACACACTGACAAATTAAGGTCGTTAGTCTATTCCAGAGAGCACTAAAGCTTTTCACCTCTCATTCGCATTGTTCATTGTATTTAATATATACGTACGGGGTTATCAAAGACAAATGTCCGACAATATTTTCATAAAAGCTAAGGTACTATTCATTTCTCACTTACACTGTTTATTATTGTTCAATATATACAAGATATTCGATGGTGAATATACATCGGTTTTTTTTCTGATAGCTAAGGTATTGTTCTCTTCTTATTTATAATGTTTATTATTGTTCATTACATATGAAATCATTGAGGTTAATGTACATCAATATTTTCCTAAGAGATAAAGTAATGTTCATTTGTCACTTGCATTATTTATTATTGCACTTTGTAGATGGAATCATCAACGGACTAGAAGTAGTTGATGATAGATGGCAGGTTTATTAAAAATATTAGCATCTAAATTATTTTTGGTAAAGGTGTTGGTGATGTATGGAGGATTTCTAAAAATTTTGAATTAAATTAAAAAATTCAATTAGATTTAGTGAACATAAACACCAACAGAACAACTAAAATATTAATTTTAAATTTTCTGACGATAAAGATATCACTAGTACTTGGCATCTTTCCGGAAATTTTTTATTAAATTGGAAGTTTTAATTACACTTGATAGAAAAATTACAAACAAAAAAATTTAAAATATTAATATTTAATTCATTTTCAGTAAAAAAAACTCCAAATTAAAAAACTATAATTCCTAAAATCAGAATAGAAAAGCACATCTCTTCTTCTTTTTTTCTTTGGAACCTCTTCTCTCCTTCTCCTATATCTTCTTCTTTTTTTTTTTTCTCTTATTTATTTAATGATTTGTTTATATTTGTTTTCTCTTCACAAGCTCGGAATAACACAACATTAAGGTAAGGTTCTTTTTTCCCTTCACCTTTTTTTGTGTTTTTTAATTTTTTATTAATAATTCTATAAATATTATTGGGAATGTTTTAATTTTTTTGTTATTAATAATTGTATAGACATTAATGGAAATTTTTAATTTGTTTAATTTTTTCTGCTATAAACAATTGTATAAAAAATCTGTTATAAATATCAACATAAATGTTGAAGGAAATTTTTAAATTTTTTTGTTATAAATATCAACATAAATGTTGAAGGCAATTTTTAAATTTTTTTTGTTTGGTTCTTTTGTTATTAATAATTGTATAAATATTATCGAAAATTTTTAATATTTATGTTCTTTAATGATTGTATATAGATTGTTGCAATTTTTTTTAATTTTTTTAAGTTTTCAGTAAATGTAATGATTGTATAAATGTTGTTACAATTATTTAATTTATTTTGGTATTTTCACGTCTTTAATTATTGTATATAGATTATTAAAATTTTTATTTTTTTAATTTTCTAAAAAAAAAATTTAATTTCATGAAAAATAAAAAATAGTAGAAATCATAAATAAAATTATATCAAAATTTATCAAATAATGAAAATTAATATTTTTTTTAAATGCTATAAACATTTACTTAACGCTTACTTAAATATTAAACATGCATACTTACATATCGAAACATGGGCACAACTCAAAATTACGTTTTGAGAATTTTCAAAATCAAACAATTTTGACCTTGATATATATATATATATATATATATATATATATATATATAAGAAAATTAAAATTGTTTTTTATTCTGGTGGTCCAAAGATAGCTTGTACATAAATAGCAAGTTGTTGAGCGTTCTTTAGTTGCCATTAAGGCAATGGAAAAGTGAGCTTTCTGCTAAGGATTCATGCATAAAATACACAATTCAATTGAGATATAATGTTAGTGTGACTTTGTCTAACAATTGGATTAACACTTTGATAAGATCAAATAATCGAGGCATATAATCAATAGTTTTTCCTTTGAAAATGTGGTTTAATTGGTTGGTTTGTGTTATATTATGCTTTCTTCATTCTCTATTATATTTATAAAAATATGATTAATATTTTAGATATGATGATATTATAAATATCAAAAAGATAAAAATATATTTAATTATAAAGATGAAGATAATAATTTTAAAACAAATCTAGATGCATATATACCTCTTTTATTTTTATTATTCTAAAATGATCATTTATGGTTACCTAAATGCTCAAAGTTGTGTGAAAATGGATATATCTTGTACTTCCATATCTTTTTTTTTTTTTTAGATTAACGTGGGTGTCCGGGCCAGCTTGCGCGCACCACGACTAATCCCACGGGCCCTGAAGTTAACGACCATGTAAGCCTCTAGTGGCCATCATATGAGCAACTAAGGACTCGAACCTGAGACCATAAAGGAAACAAATCCCTTAGTCCCAAGTTTTTACCACTTAACCACTACCTAGATGATTACTTCCATATCTTAATGAGTTTGGTTATAGATAGTGACTCCCATGCCACATAGCCAAAGCTAATTATTTGATGTCACTTTGTTACGCAGCCATTTCCATGGGAATATATTTTAGGTCAAGGGAGGATCATGTTGCTCATACATAACAAATTAAATTTATCATGTTTGTTTTTATATTTAAAATATATTTAAAAAAATTAATTTTTTTATTTTTTATTTTTTATTTTAAATTAATATTTTTTTGATGTTTTAAATTATTTTGATGTGCTAATATCAAAAATAATTTTTTAAAAAAAACATAATTTTAATATATTTATAAATAAAAAATATTTTAAAAAATAATCGATATCAAATTATCAAATAAACTAAAAAAAATTATTTATTTATTTTATCGAGGTTGTTTGTTGTTTGTTTGTGGATCCATGTGATTCTTAATAAATTAGCCAAGTAAATTTATTTTTATATCTTAATTTTTTTAATCTTTTATTTTGTTATTGTTTTTATTTATTTTATCCTGGAATAAGAACGAAATGCAACCAATGATTTTTAAGAACAAGTGAGGCTACTATATCTTATTAAATCTTTTATAGTAGTAATAATAATAATAATAATAATAGATGGTGAAATAAAAAGAGAAAATCATTCTCCTTTGACTCGGTTGAGGGGAGGTCACAATGTACATCACAGATCCTCCCTTGTAAAAGGAGAAAAATCTGAAAAAAATAAAATCTTCTTATCCAAAATTAGCGACACCATTGAGAAACTTCATGACTAATTAATTATTAATATTTACTCAATAATTTCCTAAAATAAAAAAAAAATATCCAGACAGATGATAAGTCCTTCTGCAATTGGTCGTAATAATCTTTATTAAAGATAATAAATAATAATAATAATAATAATAATAATTAATTTAAGTCAAATCAATCTATTTGACTCCTGACCTCAACTTGCCCCATATTAACTTTGGGTTTAAAAATTAGGAAGAGTAATAATAGTAATAATAATAATAAGAAGAATAATACAGAGGCAAGCCGTACATGTGAGCAGCGATACAGCGCGCCAGCCTCCACCCTTTGTACTATAAAAAAACCTTCCTATCCCTCCGCTCGTCCGCTCAAGCCTCTCCTCCTCCCTCGTATCAATATCTTCACCCTTTTCGCCGGGCTTCAATACACGAGGTCCGCCGGCGTCCAGCCAAATCCGACGTCAGCATGGACACACATGCCGGCGAACCCACCCTGAAACCATACCATCGTCACCACCATGATCATCATGATTTACAGCCTCCGACGTCTGTAAAGGCATCGGATGCACTCCCATTACCTCTTTACTTAACAAATGGTTTGTTCTTCGGGCTGTTTTTCTCTGTAGCCTACTTCCTTCTCCATCGTTGGCGCGAAAAGATCCGGAACTCCACTCCCCTTCATATCATCACTTTCCCTGAAATCGCTGGGATAGTATGTTTGGCTGCTTCGTTTATTTATCTTCTTGGTTTCTTTGGGATTGGAGTTGTTCAATCTTTTATCTCTCGAGGGTCCAATGATTCTTGGGATGTTGAGGAAGATAATAATGTTATGATCAAGAAAAATGGTGGCGGTTGCACTCCTGCAGAATCACTTGCATGCACTCTTGCCCCTGTTTCGAGGGAAAGAGTTGTTGCACCAACGATTCAAGAACCATTTTTATCAGATGACGACGAGGAGGTTATCAAAGGAGTGGTATCTGGGACTATTCCTTCGTATTCTCTTGAATCAAAGCTTGGAGATTGCAAAAGGGCAGCTGCTATTCGGCGTGAAGCGCTTCAGAGGATGACAGGGAGGTCTATGGAGGGATTGCCATTAGAAGGTTTTGATTATGAGTCAATATTGGGGCAGTGCTGTGAGATGCCCGTTGGGTTTGTGCAGATTCCTGTGGGAATTGCTGGGCCATTGTTGCTTAATGGGACGGAGTATATGGTCCCAATGGCTACGACTGAGGGGTGCTTGGTGGCCTCTACAAATAGAGGGTGCAAGGCTATTTATATATCGGGTGGAGCTAGTTCTATGTTGCTTAAAGATGCCATGACTAGAGCTCCTGTTGTCAGGTTGGGGACTGCAAAAAGGGCTGCTGAGTTGAAGTTCTTTGTTGAGGATCCTGCTAATTTCGACACTCTTTCTGTTGCTTTCAACAGGTTCTTGATTTTCTCCTCTTTTTCCTTTCTTTTTTTTTAAGAAAGCAGATATTAGACTAATTAATCGATCTTCCTTTTTCAAATTTAATCCTTCTTTTTAGTCTTCTTTGGCCTACAATGATTTATTTCTTGATTTCTTGAAATTGGAAATTGTCCATTTCCAAGGCTATCCAGTCAAAGAGCTAGAAAGTTGGTACCATATGATTTTGGATACTGCCAAAGTCGGTTTGATTTGGTTTTGCTTTTTTAAAGAGTGTCTTGGCAGAACTTTCCTTGCTCTTTTGGCAATATTTTGTTGGTGAATGGAAACTTATTGATGGCGATGGGTTCTAATTTTCTTCATTAGTATTTTGCATGGGTTAACCATTATCCGCTTATTTTATATTTATCTACTACAACAAGTTTTGCTTTTCGAATGCTCTTGTCTCTGTCGGGAAGATTTTTATATTCCAGAAGGAAAATTATGGTTGAATTTTGTATTTCACACGGGCACAGATACTTGACGTGGTGGATGATATGCAGGTCAAGCAGATTTGGAAGGCTACAAAACATTAAATGTGCAGTGGCAGGAAAGAATTTGTACATGAGGTTTAGTTGCAGCACAGGTGATGCTATGGGAATGAACATGGTCTCCAAAGGAGTCCAAAATGTTCTTGATTATCTTCAAACAGATTTTCCTGACATGGACATCATTGGCATCTCTGGTAAACCCTCCGTGCTGCTTAGTTTCCATTTTTGGATTCATTATCGGGTGATGTATACAGTTAATGATTCGGTATTTTCAATCTGTGTTTTGAGTTCCTCAGGCAACTTCTGTTCAGACAAGAAACCTGCAGCTGTAAATTGGATTGAAGGGCGTGGAAAGTCAGTTGTATGTGAGGCAATCATAAAGGAAGAGGTGGTTCAGAAGGTACTGAAGACCAATATAGATACCTTGGTGGAGCTTAACATGCTTAAGAACCTTGCAGGTTCAGCTATGGCTGGTGCTCTTGGTGGGTTTAATGCCCATGCCAGCAATATTGTCACTGCAGTCTATATAGCTACAGGACAGGATCCTGCTCAGAATGTTGAGAGCTCTCACTGCATTACCATGATGGAAGCTGTTAATAATGGAAAGGACCTTCATATCTCAGTCACCATGCCTTCCATTGAGGTAAAATGCCTAGCTAATTAGCCCATTTCCAACCTTTTGGTCTTTTGATTCAATATTCAACTCAAGTTTCGGGTTGACTCGGTAGGATGTCTAGATTTAACCGATCCAATTATAAGCCGGAGTTTTTTTTTATTTGAAACACGGCCAAGGCCTGTGTCAACTTGCTGGACTGGACCGGGTTTCATAACAATTATAAGAACCTTATTTTAGCTCATCAAGGTACCCCTTGTAACTTGAAGAAGAAGGCCATGAGAGAGGAAGGCCATGTGTAAATTAATAGTCATGCAATCAGAAAACCGTGTTATAATTTGAGTTCTGGCATCAAGAGCAAAACTCTTAACTCTGTCTTTTTTTTTTATGCATCTACTATTTGGTTCAGGTGGGCACAGTTGGAGGTGGCACCCAACTAGCATCTCAGTCAGCTTGCTTGAACCTGCTTGGAGTAAAGGGTGCAAGCAAAGATTCTCCAGGATCAAACTCAAGACTCCTGGCTGCTATCGTTGCTGGTTCTGTTTTGGCAGGAGAGCTGTCCCTCATGTCTGCAATTGCAGCTGGTCAGCTTGTAAAGAGCCACATGAAATACAACAGATCAAGCAAAGATGTGTCAAAGATAGCTTCCTAAAATATTTTAATTGACAAGATATCTTACAATGAAGAAGCAAAAATATATCTTCAGTAAGAAAGTGGGAAATATAAAAAATCTAGAAAATTGCTGGCGAGTGTGTTGAGGGGACAAACAAGTAGATGGCCATGTGGAGCAACTAGTTAATAAACAAGGCCAGTTCACATGGCTGGAATCATGTGACTCTGGTAGGTCTCTTTCCAAGATTTACCAGGATGCTTCCATTTATGAGTTTTTTTAAAGGGATAGTGGACCCATGATCTGTTGTTTTCACCTGTCCCTTGCATGATATGCCAATTGTCGAGGCTCTCTGGGCCAAACTGTGGTCTCCTAAAGTTAATCTTTCTTGTTAATTGTACTTTGGATCTGGATTAACTTCAGGTGAGAGCATCTCTTAATGAGATTTAGATCTGTTTCAATTGCCTGTTGTCTGTATTACAACTTTGCATTTCACTGTTATCAGGCTAAGCACATGATCAGGAAATCAGCCCTAGCTGGTCCAAAAACCCTTGATTGTCTATGTTCTTAGCACTCTGATCACTAATTTTAAACCTAAAATAATCCCATCAGGGAGATTTCTTTTTTGATCAAATTGCATCACTTGCATTCCCTTCAAAAACTAACAATTTGCACCGACAAGCTGGTGAGTTTGGCTTTGGTGCTAGGCATCATCGATTTGGTGGCGCTGCCTACTATGGTCTGTAGAATGCTTTGATATAAATTTCAGCTTCATGTCTAACATCCAGGAGAGAAATTATGCTCGTTTTCATTGTAAAACTTGTTTAACAAGTCCGGATTACTTCTTATACTTAATTTTGTCTATCTAACCTATAAATATATCCCTTAGATGTTCCACGCAATTCATCATCATCATCCAAGATCTCATGTATCATAAATTGAGACATTATATATATATATAATCAACAAGAGGATTGCAAGGTTGACATTTATGAGATGGGGCGTGTGTTAGGCAACTCACCCGCTGGGATGAAGCCGATAGGCAGCATCTTCTGGATGTTCTAAAGTGTTGTAATAATTATTTTTTAAAATATTTTTTTTGTTTAAAAATATATTAAAATATATTTTTTTATTTTTTTAAAAAAATATTTTTAATATTATGACATTAAAATGATAAAAAAATCAAAAAAACTATTAATTTAAAAAAAAAATTAATCATTTTTAAAAATAATTTTAAAACCCAACACTAAAATACTTATGAACTAAAAGGACTAATCAGTGGCAGGACGTTACAGGCGCTTACCAGGCTGGGCTTTCAAAAATGACGGAAGAAAAAGTATAAATTTTAGGCTACGCCGTCTGTGGGAATCGAACCCACGACCACATGGATAAAAGCCATGCGCTCTACCAGCTGAGCTAAGACGGCTTGCTTATGCTTGCAGGAGAATGTATTTATGTATACCTTTTGAATGAAGGAGCATTCAACCCCTGTATATTTGTTGGTGTTGCTTATGCTTGCAGGAGAATGTATTTATCTATTTCTTGGTGGGAAATTACATTTCAGACCCTGTTGGTTCAGGAAAGCAACACATTGTCCTCTAAAATACCCAATGTCAAATCTTGAGCTTCCAGAAGTTTCGGTGTGATTATTATAGGCCAATTTTGTAATTGTCTTTTGAATTTTAGAAAATTTATTATCGCATGTATGAGAGCTTGGGAAAAGTTGACAGGTGAAAGCAAATGGGAGAAAAAATGGGCACTACTCCTCTAGGCTTCTTGAGCTATCTGCTGGCTCCTTGGGGCTAGATTGGAACTCTTTCAAAACTACAGAGCTGACACTACAAAATCTTCAACTCCAAGGGTCAACGAGGAAAATTTCTGAATCTATGGAGGCTAAAATATAGCTTACCCTGTGTTTAACTACTTCAGTCACAGTTTACAGCAAAAGGATAATGAGAGAAATCATCTTCTTCAATCTGAGATCTTCAAAACCTAAAGTTGATCATAATATTGTAAGGATTTTTGACTACCTTGATGTTAATGGCTATCAGTTCTTCACTTGCTATACAATACATGCTGCAGTGTGCACGGTTTAAACCTCTAACAATCTATAATGACGAGGTCTTGTTGCTTGCGTTTTGCATGTCAGCCCACTAGAAAAGATGGCATCCACTCCAGAACCAAGTCCCCTGACCTGAGCCTAGTTTCATTGCAAGCTTGTTTGGAAATTGAACGGTCAAGCATAACCTTCCTAATTGCCCGGGTCAAGGTCAAGATCAAACTCGGATGAGAACTGAACAGTAGAGATTTTAAAAAGAAAAAATTATCTAAAATAATATCGTTTTAATATTATTTTTTTTCTTTTGAAAAAACAAATCGATGCAAACCCACAACATGGCCAGGATATGATAACTATGATTCCAACAATATTATGTTTTTAGTTCAAAAGGGGGAAACTCTCGTCCATCGAAGTGAAGTCATTCAGTGTCAGTGATGACAAACAGACGGCCTCAGCAAAGCATCATTTGGAAGCTTTGATCGGCCTAATTCCAACTGGAGCACCATGTATCAGGACACAAGCTACCCAAATAAGTTCACAGCAGACGGAAGAAAAGGTGGAAACATAAATTATGTCCAACAAATTCCACTTGCAAATCGAGTCATGAAGGGAGTGATAATATTGCGCTAATGTTGTATACATATTACGATGCAATCATAGTCTGCAGCACATCTGGGAAACTCTGTTATTCAGATTCCCGAGTACCCTTTTCATATCCTAGATAGTCAATCACTTTTGCCCTCCTGGGATCCAATCTCTTGCAAGTAATGCTCTGCATCTAGCGCTGCCATGCAGCCTGCATTAAAATGAAACAACAGATTTTAAGCCAATCAGAATGCGAACACAAAGAAACAAAGCTACTCCTTGAAGGTACTCTTGCTCAGTCAAAATTAACCAAGTATGGTCCAAAAGGGAACATCAATGCAAGAAAAGCAGATGTCAGTTTAACCCTCAAGGTGAATGTGCTTCCAACTCTAACATAGGTGTTCTGTACACTCCAAGCAAAATCCATTGCACTAACAGTTTTATTCACCACAAGGAGCTCTCACTAGGAGCTTTCCCTGTTGAAAAACACGTTTTTGAGAAGTTATTTATGAGCCTAACTATCCATACAGACCTAATATTGTAAATACTGGGTCCTAGACAAACTGTGGTGCAAGCAGTTATCGGAAAGATTTCTATATTTTGATATCTTATTTGTTGTCGGAAAGATTTCTATATTTTGGTTGGACAAGGTGTACAGGGTTTGCCCTTATGCACTAACTCTGTGTGTTTGGTATTGTAACGCAATATATATTAAAATATATTTTAATATTTTTAATATTTGCACATCAAAATTATTGAAAAAGCTAAATTTAATATTTTTTTCAAGTCAAACACAACTTTAGAATGCAATCAAATACAATTTTAACCACGATGAAAAACCACCTCTATGAGGAGTAGAGGTTATCCTTATCTTATTTGAGTACAAAACATTTAACTTGAACTGGCACATGTCAATCCATCAAACAACAATTCTCTTTCAGACTTCAGTTTATCTCTCACAATCAAATCGTGTATTATGTACAATAAAATCTCCACAGGGATCTGCTTAGTTTATGCACATAATAGTAGTTTCTATTTACTACCAAATAGAAATGCTATGTTGCCCGTAACAGACAATGTAGGTAGGTTCAACACACAAATGAAGGGATGATATTTGAAACGTGATCCAAATGCTAGGTATGTGGAGCACTTGCAAAAGTAATTTTATTAAAATATTTTTTATAAGATTTTCATTCATTCTTTGCATCAAGCTGAAACCACTACAATACCAGAGAACACACCATTATGCAACTATTAGAGTGTCCTTCTACCTAAAAGTTGACAGTCTTGCTTCCAAACAAGTCAGGTTACTAATACTTGATTCTTATTCCATCAGCAACCAAAGACAGAAAACCACTTCACAGCCCAACTCCAGTAACAATTGATTTCTTAGCATAGTTCCTGTTACACTCCATTTCCTCTTACAAAGAACACTCTTTGCATGAGATTTCTTTGAATTTTAAGAACCCTTGGTCCGAGCCTCAATGTCAGCTAAAGAGTAACTTATTTATGAACCAGACAAGCAGGTAAAAGTACATTGTTTTCTTCAAATTGGTTCAGGAAGAGAGGGATTTATAAGAGAGGCTTTGGCATGTAATATCAAACAAGACCAATCTGACAGCATTAATCACATATTAAGCATCCTTTATAAACCTCTGTCAACAGTTCAGGGTTAGAGTTATATTGGGAGTTTTATGTCTGCCATTTGGAACTCACTCTATTTCAGCAAGATCAATCAAATTGTTCACATTTTCAAGACTAGTTAACCTCAATCTCACTGTCTCCGGGATGGTTTATCAATTGAACAGCATGAGTAGGTGTGGACAAATTGTGTTCTTGACATTGGTAAAGCCTACAACTTATACAAAGAGGCTTTGATATGATAGCATCAAGTACAGTGGTAGCTACTTTCATAGACAGAGGAGGGTAGCAGCCTCCCCAAGGATTTTCAATTTTTTACCATGTATGCATTTAAGTCTTTGAATTTTTTAAATCATGCAATTCAGTCCTTCCATCTCAAAATTTGCTTGCAATTGAATACTTGATTTCAAATTTTTCCTCTTTTTTTAAGGCTAAATGTCTCTCTATGTGTATATATAGATATATAACGAACATGTTAGTTTGAAGCAATAAAACACACAATTTTCAAAATGGTGCTTCCTTTCCCAATTAATTTACAAGTATTATTTGTACACTCATTATACTAGACAATCAAAATTACAACAAAAATTGAAAATTTAAACTAATTGTTCTTTCTTTCTTTTTTTCATTTTTGATGGAATCAAATCTATTATCGAAACTTAATATGAATGGAATTGTGTGCTAACACAAGCTTTACACTATACTTTCAGTCATGTTATTGCGTCCCCTGAAATCTTGTTCAGGATCCGCCATTGATCGAGTAGGGCCAGACAACTAACAAGATTCAACATCTAATACCAATCATGACACTGACGGTGCATTTATTACCCTTTCCTGAAGGATTCAGGATCATAACTTACACTCTGAGGTTTATGCCTGCCCTTCAAACTATTAATCAAAACATTCATTTTGATAGTGCAGAGAAATCATTATATGCGAGGTTTATGCCTGCCCTTTAAACTATTAATTAAAACAATCATGTTGATGGTGCCGAGAAAAAATCATATACGAGTCCTAAAAAACAAACAATAAAATTAATCATAGAACATAAAAATGCAGGTAAATGAAACAAACCAGTGCCAGCAGCAGTAATAGCCTGTCTGTACTTCTTATCCTGAACATCACCAGCAGCAAAAACCCCACGAACACTAGTCTTTGTAGTCCCCGGTTTAGTCACAACA